TTGAAAACTGTTCAGCTTTACGATTTCAGGACAGACCAGTCACTCTGTCAGGAACATTACGGCTTTTTGGATGTGGTTTTAGCTTCGATGCTGCTACTAACACTAACGGCACATTAGCGCAAAGGGCTGCATACGCCGAATTACGTCTTGCTTGGCGGTCAAAGGCGTGTGACGTTCATTGGCGTGGGAAACAGCGGTTCTGTCCTGAATGACAGCTTCTGGGTCCGGACCCGGCCCGCGGTCCGCTTGTTAGTGACCTCTGATCTTTTACTTCTGTTCTGATTACCCATAACTTAACATAAACACACCGTAACAGTAGCATTATGTTCGCACCAGAACGATCATGGGCCGGAAACACGGAACTTATCACGTTATTCAGATCAGCTGGAGGCTGATAGATTCTCTTCTAGATTTTGACCCCTGCCCTGTACTTCTAGATTTTGACCTGCGCCTTCAGTAAAATGATCTTACCTCGGTCACCCACAGGGGGCGTCACACGTTTCCTCTCATTTGCGCTCATTGCCGGTGACGTCAGACAACAAAGATGGCAGCTGGGAGCAGCAATTACTGGGAAGGTGAGGCGATCTTAAGACACGAAAACGGTTTTTGTGTTTCACTGCCTGTCTAATCAGTTTCACATCGGGTGGCCTGAGCAACTGATCACGGCTGTTGTACTTCAGCACTACGGACATGGCCAGAAATGTTGTCTCCTTCGTATAGAGCCAGTTTCAGGCACATATAGGGTTCTGTACGGCACTCTGGTCGTTACACATTTGTTTACGGCACCATGTCCGCGGTCATGATTTTCATTATGACAGCGATTCGAAAGAAGAGTTCCTATTATCTGCTCGCTACTGTTTGTTAAGATGTTGAGCTTTTGACGATGGTTTTTATTAAAACCGGGTTTGGGCTACATCGGGAGTTGTGCCGTAAAAATGCTGCCGTAATGTGCACATGAGCTTTTTGGTGCTTTCTGGCTACCAGGCTCACACTTCCGCAACCGTCATCAGTACCCTGTTCCGTTTAGTTCCGACGAGTTAAAGTAATTCGCCATCAAACTCCTGGCACGAAGATCACCGCCCATCACTTGTATAATTCAGACTAAAAAGGTTGATTCTAAATATACGTATTTGACCGTGCTTGTGTTTTTGTGTACTCGTTTTACGTCATCTTCTATTGCCGAAGACCAGTGCCAATACTGAAGAACAGGGGTGAATCTCCATACCAAGACCGCGAAGACCGTACTTGTGGTCTTGGCAGGACCGGTCTTGCTAACTTGCCTTCCAAGAACGAACTTGGAGCGCAATAAATAATGCGATTGGTCTCGTTTGGCGAGGATGCAACCTATGGGTGAATCTAAATACCAAAAATGCAAAGGCTGTACTAGTGGTCTTGGCAAGACCGGTCTTACGACCTTGTCTTCCAAGAACGATCTCGAAAGATCACGAGGACAGAGAACACACCAATTGTGGATTGAGACAGATGTGTACTTGTTGCTCCACTATGCAATGCGCCCAGCTGATTACGCTGGCCATAATTTTTATTATTTAATAAATGACACATAATCGAAATGTCCAGTCTAAATGAGTAATTATTCCTGGTATGATTACTTGTGCTTTTTCACAAATAATATTTACACTTAAAATATTCATATTTATTTCAACTCTGTACAAACACTATACATGGGTGTTAACCATTACAGTTTAGCATTCTCATGAGCCAAAAAAACAGCAGGAAAATACTGTCTGACAGGAACAATAGAAACATTAATCCAATTAAGGTAACCCAGATTAAGGTAATTATTATTGTTTGTGCCTTCTCCAGTATGCATTGAATCATGGGATTATTCTCATTTGACAAGGATGCGCCCAGTACATCCTTGATATTTGGGGCGGAGCAAGACTGACATCTTGGGATTTTTACTGTCCTCTGTTCTTGTGATCCTAGTATTGGAAGTGATCTTTGGCAATGGAAGATGATGTAAAACGGGTGCACGAGAATGCATATTGAGATTCAGCCTATGTATCCTTTATATTTGAGATGGAGCAAGACCATCATCTGGGCATTTTTACGATCCTCGTGTGCTTGTGTACTTAGTATTGGAACTGGTCTTCGACAGTGGAAGATGACGCAAAACGGGTACACAAGGTCACAAGTAAACATATTGATATTCACCCCAGAAGTAAGGAAGATGGTAAAAATCCCCGGATTGTGGTCTTGCTCCTCCCCAAATATCAAAGATACATTGGTTACATCCTCAGTGAACGAGACCAATCCCATGATTCATTGCACCACGAGTTCATTCTTGGGAGTCAAGTTCGTAAGACCGGTCTTGCCAAGACCACAAGTATGGTCTTTGTGTTCTTGGAACTGAGATTCACCCTGAATTTGTATCAATTTTGTCCTGGCTTTTTTTGATTAAAATTGTCAGTACGGGAGAATATTTCCATGCTGGTCGCATTTTGAAGTGGTGTCGTCTTGCTGTATTGTCTCCAGACCTGAGGAAACAGGCGCGGCAGCTGGAGACTGAGCTGGACCTGAAGTTGGTCTCATACAGCAAGCTGTGTACCAGTTACAGTTGCCACGGAGATGGGTGCGCCACCCTTCTGGCCAATCAGCACACGGACAGGGACTGGGGCTGAGGGCAAGAACCAATCCATGGGCAGAAGAGACTGCTTTCCAATTTCTGGGGGTCCCACTCATGCTGCTCCAAACAGCATCTGCTGCAGTCCTCTACTCAGGCCACATGTGTCTGCTGACCCAGTACTGACACTAATGGATGCACTGTTTCTTAATTGATGTGTTTGCTGTTTTAATAACATCAGACCTCATTGTAATCTTTATTAAAGCTGCCATATGTCCAGTTGTTCACTAAAAACTTGATATTTACACCCCACTCACAGCTTGGACACCACACCCCTCCTGAAAGGCTCCAACCAAGACAGAATGTTTAACACTGTGGGCGTTGAGATTGAGCAGCTTCTGGCAAAGGTGAGGGGGCGGGGCCATGTCATGATTGGGTGTCATGATGTCATTGGGTATTTATTAATATTCGTACGATACTTATGTTCTTATGTACCTGTTTTACATCATTTTCCATTGCCAAAGTATAGTTCCAATACTAAGAACAGAAGTCGGGAGGTAAAAATCCCCAGATGTTGTTCTTGCCCCGCCCCAAATATCAAGGATGCATCTTCGCCAATGACACCAATCCCATGATTTATGGCATCCCAAGTTCGTTCTTGGGAGGCAAGCTAGCAACACCGCTCTTGCCAAGAATGAAAGTACAATCTTTGCGTTCTTGGTATCGAGAAACACTCATTGTCAAGGTTGCTTTGAATGTTGATGTCATGTCCCCCCCCCTAGTTGACTGGCATTAATGACAAGATGGCAGAGTGTACCAGTGTGTCGGGCATGACGTCACACAGTGCTGCGCTCATGCATACGCTGCAGAGACACCGAGACATCCTCCAGGTGAGTACCCTCCCTCTGTTTAACCCTAACCCTCCTCATGTCCAGGGCTGCACAGTACATTGTGTGCTACATGAACGCCAGTCACATGAACGCCAGTCACATGAACGCCAATCACATGAAAGCCAATCACATTGCATTCGTTAGCATCGCTTTGCGTCCTTTGACACAACTTGTGGCAACGCCACCGACTACTTTGACACACTTTATTGGTAGATAGTAAGAAGTTCTATTTGCCTATAGTTTATTTCTGGTAATGTCATCTCTCTTTTTTGTTTTATGAATATCGCAGTTTTACTTGCAGAAATTTGCCATATCACATAGTGACATCGTACCCATGTCTGAGTCCCTCAGCAGATGTTACCGGTTTCTGTATCTGTGGCATGTAGTCTGATAAAAGTGTTAGGTCCCTGTGTCACATTTTGGATTTTGCTCCCCTCCCCCCTGTAGATTTTGGATCATGAGGGATGAAGTGTCCACACGTCCCGTTTTGTCCTCTGGGCCGCTGCCCCCTGTGCCCTTCCCACTTTCAAGCTGCCTGGGTCCTTCACACTTTCGCTTTCTGTGTCTGTTACTTGATCCCCGGCTAATTCTTTTTCGCCATTTGCTGGGGCTCCACGGTCGGAGGTTAATGCTCCTGCGCATTGTTTACTGGACACGGAGCCTCTGGTGCTTTGTTTTCTAGGACTACACTCACGAGTTCCACAAAACCAAGGGCAACTTCCTGGCAGTGCGGGAGAGGGAGGACCTACTGGGCTCGCTCAAGAAGGAAATGGAGTGAGTGCGGCTTTATGTGTGCGGAACGTATGAAATTGGTGTGTAGGCACTGTGGGCTTGTTTAACTTAATGGAAACTCAAACTATAAGAAAACATTTTCATAAACTGAAATAAGATACGAAAATTAAAAAAACGAAAACTATATTTCTTCCAAAATATAAAATAAAAACTAACTTATTTATTTATTTTTAATACTATTTAACGAAAATACCTGGAATATGTTTTGCCCATTGTGAGGACATTTGTACATATTGTGCCATGTATTCATGTGGAATTCTTTAAAGATCAGATATAGAAAATAGCTCTACAACTTTCAGTCTATCCCTGGAAATAAAATTACTAAAACTTAAACTGAAACTAAAACATATAAAAACTAAATAAAATATCTTTCATTGTTTAGCGACTGGGATTGTTAGGTGTGCACCTATTCACCTTGCCCATTTGATTCCAAGTAAAGGGATAATTGCAGCCATGCCGTATGAATACTTTGGAGTTATGTCATAACTTTAGTCTTTACCAGCATTCTGATGGTATCCGTATACAAGAAAAATGTCACATTTTAAGAGAGACTGATGCCTGTTAGTCTGCAGAGGGTTAGAAAGCCACCTGGAGGTCCTGAGGTGTTTGAATGCACAATGCAGAGGTTGGAGTGGTGGAAGATCTAGTAAATGTAAGGTTTTTCACAGATGGATAATTGGAGAGAGCCACAAAAACAAGCTACTGCTTGCAGTATCACCAGAAGTTGAATTTCCAGAACTAAACCCCCCCCCCATGATCCATTGGGAGCAGCTAATACAAGTGGTTTATGCTCATAAACTAATTTGAAGTGGTTCCTAATGGAAGAGCCCACTGAAATTCTTCCATTGCACCGAGAGACTTTAACCATTTACTGCAAGGCCCATTTGGGTACAGTCACTGCTGAGTATTGAATAATTTAACTCAAAACAAAAATGTTGAAATGAATCCTGTGTGGGAATTCTGCAGATATTCAGTTTTCTTAGAATGCTGTCAAGCATTCAGGGTTGTAAATGGGCAAACAGGAGCATAAATTATACTTTGTGGTTCATGAATTTACAATTTCCAGCAAGACACTGTTTACAACAGTAGTAGTCTACAGGTAGTCTGATAATCTGTGATGTGAAATGAGCGGGTTTGGCTGCCTTTCCTGCACAGGTTCCACACAACTGCCCTTGGTGCACTATTCCCCTTTTGGTCTTTGTCCAATGTGGTTTTGGCTGTTTCCATGCGATCCGTTACTGCTTCTGTGTGGGTGTCAATACATCTAGGTGCGTGTTTGTTGGCAGTACAGCTGCTGTGAGACCAGGAGACAAATGTATGGGCCTTTTTGTTTTACTCTGAACTTTAAATGTCTCCTTGTAATCACATATTGCATCTGCTTAATGAACCTAGATGTTTTTTTTTGCCATCCTCATACAAGAAATTGCCCCATAGGAGAGATTACTGAGCAAAGCGGTTTGGAGAATAAGATCTATTTTTCCTGATGGCCTTTTTTCTTTATGGCTTGCTTAGCCGGTGTTGGAGTTAAGTGGACATTGTAAACTAAGGCCTGGGGAAGGAGAGCTTCTCTTCAGTGCTATTTTTTAATCTCCATGAGGTTCATTCTACTTGGGACACATCAGACAGCTGTGAGCTGCTCTCCAGAAAATAACTGACACACGCACACACACACACACACACACACTCCCTTCTGTACGGTAATTTCACTGTTTGGCCACATGGGGTCCCAAAGGGCTTTTCTTTTTCTTCTTGAACCCATTGATTCTGTTCCCATTGGGCTTTGGCAGAGAGGACGTCAAACGCCGCCGAGTTCCCCCTCAGCATTTTGTTTTCCTTAGTGTCCATTTTCACAAGCGAAGCGTTTGCGGTTGTCACTGGAGTATGGCTGCACTGCATTATGGGTCATCTCTGCTCATCAGCAGATCCGAAATGCAGCCTTGCGCCAACAATTTAGACGTTTCCCCTGAATGTAATTCACATAAGTGGCGGAGCCTGGAGGAATGACGAAGATTGTGCAGCAAGTGTGATCGTGGCTCTTTAAGACATTACTGACAGGCCACTATGAAAACGACATGGTCAAATGGAGCAGTTAAATGGGCTACACAGCCGTTCAGTGCAGCGCTATGCAGAAGGTATATCTGTGTGGTATCATTTTCCCTCATTGCTTCGGTTTCGCTCGATTGTTATCTTGTGGCTGCAGTGTCAGCTCATTTCAGAGTGCAGCTCATTTCCGTACACTGACACACCCAGTGGCCCTTAAGGCAGTGGGTTTTCCTGATACTGTCTATCCCTCTGACCAGAATGTGTGTGTGATGTTCTCATCCCAAACCAGGACGTACAAGAGCAGCTCAGGGGTAAACAACAGGAGGACGGAGCTTTTCCTGAAGGAGCACGAGCATTTGAGGAAGTAAGGAGGCTTGTGTGCGTATACACATACACACACACACACACACACACACACACACACACACACAAAATCACTCAATTCAAATCACTCTGTTTTTACACTCTTGCAGTGTAAACACATACAGACTGGACTCTGCAATATAAAGACAGCACACACACACACACACACACACAAAATCACTCAATTCAAATCACTCTGTTTTTACACTCCTGCAGTGTAAACACATACAGCCTGGACTCTACAATATAAAGACAGCGCACACACACACACACACTTGCCTTCAGTGCCACAGTGCTGCTTGCCGTGTCACAAATGGACCCTGAAGGGAAGATCAGTGGGTCAATGGTTTTGACCAGATTCCTGCCCCCTGAGTTCAGTTCAGAGTGGTGACTGTAGGATCTGGCTCTCTCCACTCACCACCATGAATTAAACATCTCGTAAGAGCTCAGAAAGCCAGAAGAGTCCTTTAAAATCACCCTCAGCCTTGAGGCAGTGAGCATAAAAATAGGTATGGATTGTAAACAAATATTAAAGATGTGGATGAGGCGGGATGGAGTGTTAGCAGGTGTCCTGAGGTAGAGTCTGAGCGGAGTTTGGCCACACCCCTGCTGGGATTTCTTTGATAGCTGCTCTGTCACGTCAGCATGCTTCGTTTGAACAAACAGGCACACGATGCATCTTACGGCGCTGTGTAAATAACACAATGCATTTTCTTTTTGCAAGACTGGGTCACTAGTCTGCTTCTGTTTTCAGGTCCGGTAGAGACCGTTAATTAACCTCTTTTTTGGATGACAGATGATAATATTAACATTAACATTTTTCGGTCCTCCACACGCTAACTGATAGATCCTTCCAGTCTTACTGAAGTTGTACTTGGGAGCCTTTGTGGTTTGAGCGGATTTGCCCACGATGCAAGTTGTTGGGACTCCAGATCGCCGAGTCGTCATTTCAGGGAAGCTGGAGAGAGATGGCCTACTTTACCCAGCCTAGCCGTAGCTTCCTCTTGAAGGCGATGTTGTGAGTGTTTCAAAGGCCTGGACCTGCAACTTTATTGAAGTGCTGCTTCCTGTTCAGGGCTCTTTAATTCCAGGGGAGAATGTTCAGGACCTTCATGCCGTCGCTGAGCATGTGCACAAGCTTGCCTGGTGAGAAATCGAATGGTGAGACGGAGATGTTGTGGTGATTCTGTTCCATGGCCAGAGTGCTGTCCTGGTTCCTTTTAGCGGTGGTTAGAAAGTTACCCTACAGTCTGTCCTGGACCAGTCCAGTGGGTTCATGGACCTGCTCTAGAGCCTTGGAAATAAGAACCATGCAGGATATTCTGATGATGATGAAAACAGATGAAGAGACTGTAAATAGCGGCATATGAAGAGCAGTTTTGCACTGTCGGAAGCCTGTTTGAAGTCGGCTTAAAATAACTTTATGGATTGAATGTTTTAAGTTTAAGTTGTGCAGTCTCTAAACCAAAGATGAGACTTAGCATAATGAAATAAGGAACAAATTTGCCCTTTCTGGCACTTCTTGTCCCTTTTATAAACCTAAGATTAAGGCTGCTACTCCTTTAAGAAACTCTAAACCTATATAATCAGGGAACTGGCAGAGCCTTCGTAACAGAATTAACAGCAGCACTAATTCCACGTGAACTGGAGGAACACTTTTCTCCTGATCGCCCAAGCCCTTCTTTGCCTTTGGACAAGCTGGTCGCCCTATTTCATGTCAACAAACCCCATGAGTTAGACTTGCTGCTTGATGCAAGGCTTTGTGTTCCCAGACCTGCTCACTCGCCACTGTTCCATAGCGCGTCTGTGAGTAAACGGCTGCTGCGTGTGGTTTCACATTTTTGTCCTACTCTCTCTCCGCTTCCTGCTAAGCATGCTTAGTCCCACCCTGATCTGGGTTCCCTGGAGCTTTTACTGCACAGACCAGCAAAGAACATGATGGGGCTGAGAAACAGAACCATGGTCTCGAGGACCAAACTAAACCTTTAGTCATGGACCTACGTGCGCCGCCAGATCTGTGCTTCGCGTTGCTTCTATCTGTGCTGTGACAGATCAACTCGCGCTATTATCTCAACGCTATCATTTTATCTCTACTGTAGTTATTTCAAGCACATACAGCAGAAGCACCTTAAGTCAGCTCCCTGATTGTGCAGGAAGGTCCAGACAGGCTCCTGGCTCTGAAATAGATACAGACAGCTCCCAGGTGCTGAAATAGGTACAGGCTGTTTACTGATGCTGAAGTAAGGCGGATGTTTAGGATCGCTATGATGCTGCAGTGCTTCTGGGAAATGGATCCACCCCCAGTTTCAGGTGTTGACCTGTTCTTTGGCAGCAGGTGGGGTGTCAGTGCCTGGGATCTGGGGGCAGTCTGTCACCCGGCAAATATTACCGCTTATTTAGTGGAGGCCTTCCAATGGTATGCTGTCTCCAAGTGGAACCATCTGACTGTTTGAAATTGAATGGACTTCTTTTAGATCTACTAGCTGTGAATTCTATCTGAATTGTCGGGTTTACCTGGTTTTAGGTGCTGTCATTGTTACATTCCTTCCATGTTGGGTGCAAAGGTGGGGGTCAGGTTCCACTAGTCTCACTTCAAAAACTTCTTGTGTTCAACAGTGGAACATTTCCATTGGTCCACTTAGCCCCCATCTGTTTGGTTTCTGGTTTGGTTTCTTCTTGTGTGAGGCTCCCTTGTCTCATGATAGTACCACCTCCACATTTCTGTGACAGCTTGAGCTTTTGGATGTTGGCAGTGGAGATCAGGAATGGTACTGTGCTGGAACAGCTGATGGGCTGAGAGGTGTGGATCCTACCAGGGCCTAAATGGGCAAAATCTTCCCAAATGTTGAGGCAAACAGGACACTCAGGAAACAGCAACACATTCATATAGCTGTCAAAATACATATTATTGGCATTTTCTGTATGTAATGCTTTTCTGTATGTGCCTGGTCCCTCACCCCTCATCTCATGTATGCTTCGCCTCTACCTTCCTTCCCACAGCTCAGACCGCTTGCTGGACGACACAATAAGGTAAGCCTTCTGCCCCCCACCTGTGAAGAAGGGAGTCAGAACCTGCATTTCTATCAGGTGCTTCATGGGGGCTGTATGTCTGCTGGCCGGTCTTTAAGGAAGTGATACAAGTTTATCCTGGGGGGTTCAGCTGAGCACCAAACCACCCAATGAGATACAACCCCCCCCCCCCCCCCCCCCCCCCCCCCC